AAGGCCCTCCCATCCAGCATTAGGGGGGATCCCCTTGCCTTGTCCTGCCCCCTCGATCCAATGTTCGTCTTACAGATTCAGCACCAACTTTTTCCCTCAGCGGTCATGTTTGATCCTGTGCTTTTCACTGCTCAGCTCTTTTCTCGCCCCTTTCGCTCTCCTTCCGGGGATGTTGCAATCTCACTACGTAGAATCAGGATCACGTGAGGTACTAGTCCTGCTCTGTAAAGCCTTGGTAAGGCCACACCTGGAATGCTGCATCCAGTTTTGGTCACCCCATTACAAAAAAGATAAAAGAGACTCCAGAAAGTGTATAGAGAAGAGCAACAAAGATGATTAGGGGACTGGAGGCTAAAGCATACAAAGAACGGTTGCTGGAATTGGATATGACTAATTTAATGAAGAGAAGGACCAAGGGTGACATAATAGCAGCCTTCCAGTATCTCAGGGGCTGCCACAAAGAAAAGGGAGTCAAGCTATTCTCCAAAGCGCCAGAAGGCAGGACAAGAAGCAACGGATGGAGATTAATGAAGGAGAGAAGCAACCTAGAACTAAGGAGAAACTTCCTGACAGTGAGAACAATTAACCAGTGGAACAACCTGCCTCCAGAAGCTGTGAATGCTCCAACGCTGGAAATTTTAAAGAAGAGACTGGACAGCCACTTGTCTGAAAGGGTATAGATAGAGGATGGATAGATAGGCAGGTGGATGAATAGATAGATAGATAGATAGATAGATAGATAGATAGATAGATAGATAGATAGATAGATAGATAGATAGATAGAGATAGATAGAGAGAGAGAGACAGACAGACAGACAGACAGACAGACAGACAGACAGACAGATAATAGAAATAAATGGATGGATGGATGGATGGATAGATAGATATAGATAATAGAAATAGATGGATGGATACATAGATGTAAATAGAAATAAAGAGATGGATGGATAATAGAGATAGATAGATAGATAGATAGATAGATAGATAGATAGATAGATAGATAGATAGATAGATAGATAGATAGATAGATAGATAGATAGATAATAGACAGACAGACAGACAGACAGAGACAGACAGATATAGATAATAGAAATAGATGGATGGATAGATATAAATAGAAATAAAGAGATAGATGGATGGATAATAGAAATAGATAGACAGACAGACAGAGGATGGATAGATAGGCAGGTGGATGAATACTAGACAGACAGACAGACAAGGCTGGCTGGGGAATTCTGGGAGTTGAAATCCACCATCTTAAAGATGCCAATGTGAAGAAGCACTGGACTGGGAGAACAGCAGCCCCGGGGACCCCTCAAACTGACTCTTCATCCCCCCCCAGTCCCCAAGCTGCTGGGAGGGGTCCCCACGCCCCAGCACCCCCATGCCCGGTCACCCCACCCTGTGCACTGGTTGCCCCCTTTTTCCCTGGGTGGAGCTGAGCCGTTCGGACATTGTGCGCCAGGAGAAGGAAAACTCAGAGGCAAAACTGTGACGGAACCTCTACTGGTTTATTAGTCGGGAGGCTACTGGTACATCGGCTGCCGAGAGCGCACACACGGGCAGTGTCGGGCAGCCATGCGCTCCCCCCTCGCCCCCCCCCAGGCCAGGCTGCTGCGGGGAAGGGGAGACAGGCTGCACCACAAAGCCACAATTCACAGTGCGGAGCCAAACAGGGTTGATTATTGGTCCTCAAAGAAACGGAAGGCAGGAGAGTCCGAGGGAGGGCGAGGGG